AACTACCAAACTAGATAACCACTGTACTTACTTAATCTTGTAGTACCTACTAACCTTGGTACCCAATGTAAAGCATATACCTCCCCTGAGGTAACTTTGTTTGTAACTTAGGTACCTTACCTCAGACCTGTATGCAAACGTGTTGAATGTGAAGAAGCATAAAAAAGCGCTTAAGGCCGGCCGATCAGATAGAGCAACAACTATTAGCTGGAACGGAAACCAAATACCTTGGGTACCTCTAGAGTGGGATTATTATAGGTACCTTATAGGCGTAGAGCAAGATTAACAGGAGATCCGGGAATAATAGCCTAGGAAAGCGGACTCTAAGCGGCCCCTTCCATGCACTCTATGCAGGGTTTGGACAGGAACCAACCAACTGCTTCTCTCCCTACCAGTTAGTGCATACCCAGACACCCTTTCCCTTTCCAAAGATCAGATATGGATGGATGGCCATTGCCCTGTCAGCCTGTACCCAGTTAGCCAGTGACCCTAGCATAGGTAGGTAGGTAATCCTACCACTTCGTGACTTATTCCTCCCGTCAACGTTCTAGACTCAACATCGTGGAGAAATATTCGCTTTGATGCGCTTTACGCGACCCTCGGGGAGTCGGTCATAAGTCTTTATTTTTGCCATCAAAAACTGCAATGCCCGAAACCTTTCGGTCGGGCAAGGTAGCTTTCATATCTATTCCTTGTGCAGAAACCCCCAGCCGTCGTCGGAGGCGGACGTTGGAGATGCAGCCAGCCAGCCCAGGCAGGTACTTCAGCCTCCTTCAACCCTCCAGGCGCCTAGTTTGGCTAATAGTACATAGTTAGGCTGCTGTCATAACAGCAGAGAGCACCTAGTCTTTCGCTTCTCCCGAGAAAACCGGGGATTTTTGGATTCCGAGAGCTTTAAGCTTATTGGCTCAGTGATACGGACCATGCTCCGTGACCCTTACTTTACATAATTCTTAACTTGCAAGTTCTAATACTAGGCCGTGGTCAGTTTTACGATCGATCAAGATATCGGCAACTCAAGCTCAGTACTTGGTGGAAATGGCCAAGGTGGCACAGTCCGAATAAGCCTCTGGGATCGAAACGAAAGATGCATGGCTGAATGGTCAGAGGGGGGGCGTTACATTGTACGGGGAGTCGGCCACTCAACCCGCCACTATTCACCAATCCCAGGGCCCTGAGGGATCGAGATTCTAGACCCTCTGTCGAATTCCCATCCCACTCATGGCGATTTTACCACCAGCTTTCGATTCACAATTACTGACACCACGTATTGTGGCTATCGAATATTTTTAATGCCACTTGAGTGGCCGGACGATGAATAATCCTATCTTGCACATCTCGGTCGTTGATAGCCATTGACTTACAAACTACTTGTGAACTATCGCATGCCCACTTATAGCCACTATGCCTAATAGAACCAACGATCCCCTTCAGCTTCGGCTCGTCAACGCAGAATATGCCCAAATGGCCCAAACAGAATTAGACTATGTATCAGAGCACCGGAGAAACAGAATCAAAGGAGGACTGCCGGAGGTCGGTCGTGCGCTCTCACCCTGGATGACACTGCCCCGTCACGGTAGAAAGGGAAAACACATGATGCCTTGGAACGAGTTCCAATATGCGTCATTCGACTTGAGGCATCATCAACCATCAGCGCAACATGACGAATTCTGGCGGCAGCATCCCTCTGTCACTGCACGAACGGACTTCCCAAAGACGTCGGTGGCCGCACCGTGTGGCCCGCGAAAAGGGGTTCTGGGGCATTTCTGAGCAAGCAGATCACCTGTTGGCGCGGCATCATGGGCGATTCGATCAAGGCCCTGCTCGATCATGGTGAAGTTGGAGTTCTAGCGTTGTGCGATCAATAAGCCAAACCTCGATTTCAACAAAGGCGATGGCTCGATGGCGATCAGGAACAACCCACGAGCGGATTGTGGATAGCCCAGGGCGTGCGTCACTTATACCGGCTCCACACCCCCGGCTCGCAATAGCTCCGACCACCAGAACTTGACCCAGAAACTCCGTTTTAGTTAACCCACAACCACCTGGCTACCGACGAGCGTTGCCATTTGTAGAACAAGCTCAACTTCAACCCTGACCGTCCGTCTGTCACGCTTCTTTTAGCTGTTTGATGCGTACCGTCTCGGCGAGTTTCGAAGATCTTTGAGGCTTTGAGCCAGCTGCAGAGGCTAGAGGATAATGGGGAGACCACGTCCAAGAGCGTGACATTCTCACCCCATCACGCAGTCATCCCGTATCGTACCGTACGGGAGGCCACGACCGTTTCACGAATTGGGATCGAGATCTTACCCGTTACAGTTTCTGAGTAGCTGCGCTACCGACATGCGCCTGAGTTCGAGGGCTGGCAAAGCCTGGTGTGGACGGGTGACGCACCTAGCCAATGACTGTCATCCTGCCATGTCGGGGCAAATCAATCAATCAAATTGACGGTTGATCGTCATGCCCAATTGCCTCTTTCTGAATAGAGGATGCGATGCGCCAAACCCCATTACAGGCCTGCCCGCGTCCTTGGAACATCATGATGGGACCGCTCGCTCTGTGGAACATCAAGCAAACACCAGCAGCATCAGCATCAGCATCAGCAGCAATGGTGTGTATCTTTTCGATGAGTGCCGATTTCCTTCTGACTTTCGATTTGGTGCTCCCATCTCAAGCACCGCGTCGCATTTTCCATTCAACACATCCATCCATCCATTCATGGATGGGCTCTGCTAGAACTCACAGTCACGGGCACCAGTAGCGTTGCGTTGTGTTGCGTTGAAGCGACATCAATATGCCCATGGTCCCAGATATCGTTCATGAATGCGTCAATTGGACCAAGTTGGGGCATCTCGATGTTGTCCAGGTGCCGCCCTATCGTATACGTAGCCGACGACAGGGCCTCGGGGTCCACGCTTCTTGTTTTCGACCCATCTCGAGTCTGAACTGCATTTCTGTACGTACGTTGCTTAGCAATGTTGGTGCCAATTGTCCATAACTCCCAAGACCTAATATGATGGATGATGGACAATGATGATAATGCTTCGGTGTAAACCGGCCCTTGCATCATTCATCTTTCTCGAACGTCAAAACTTGATACGCTCTAATATAACAGAAAAAAGAAAGAGGCTGCGGATCAACAGCCAGCCCAGAATTTAAGAGACAAGCGTGCCAAGGCTGTGTGCCCTTGACGGAAGATTGTAGACCTACACCCTTCTTCCACACACGTTCACGCCCCCTTTAGGTTGAGTTGTGAACTGACTGGGCTAGACCATGCCCTCCTCGTTCTCTTGGTGCCTCTGAACAGCAAGACCACCCCCCGAAGCGAGTGCCATGTAGGAATCTGATATTTCTGCTCTTTTTCTGCCACTTGAACTCTCACGATTCTATCGTCGCTTCCGAAACCCTGCTTTGCCTATTTCACGTTCATCAACTAATAATCGTGTTTATTCTTTTGCCGGTGGCTGCGGCACCTCCGACTCTTCCCCGTTTTCCCCTGGACCCTGTCTCTACCTCCATCTATACAGCATTCTGGATCCCACGATGCCCTGAATAAGAATCCCCCATCCCAATATTGGCTCTAACACCAGCTCCCCACAGAGCAACTCATATTTGACCTGTCTTTCTTCGACAGCCCTCACACCCCCTCCCGTACGTCCACGACTGAAGTCCCGTCCCTACAGTGTAATTCTTATATTCGTCCTGCCTTGCCTTGCCTGTCCTTTGACTCTCACGCTTGCGCACACGCCAACAAGAGCCTAGGTCCAGAACATTTGATCCTCAACCGACCTGCAGCCAAACCTAACCCGGGGCCTGTCCCCTTGGATCTGTCACCTCACAGTCGCCTCATAAGTTTCAGTCCAAAGATCACCTGCCAATCCACGCCTTGTCACTATCCTCGACATCTATCCCAGACGAGGTCTTGCGCCGCTGACAGACCGTGAGCTTTCATTCTTCCCTCGTCGCGGTTGGACACAATACCCTTCCCTCAATCCACCACAGCACAGTACTTGCTCTTTGCAATCGAGATATCCGATTCCGCTTGTTGTCTCTGGGGGTGCTCGTAACTGCTCTTCACTCCCTCTCGAACCCATCTCATCTATCCAGCCTACTTGCTGGCCCTCTGCTGTTTCCCTTTCCCTTGATCGTCCAGCTTCTGCCTCAGAAAACTCTTTCTGCTCATCGTTGTGGCTTGTCAATTGGCGAAGAATAACAACCCTCCACCATAGGAGCCAACGCTTTTCTTGTCCACGATCCACTGCTCCCAAATTCTCCGGCCCAATATCATCACATCTTGCTTGTACGTGCCTCCTATTTCTTTCGTCATTCTCCTACGCCTCTTCCCCTTACCCCCCGTATGTTCACCATGGACTTTATGCCCCTCAACCCAATCATCAGACCCTATTCCTCTCGATCCCCGAGTTTATCACTCCCTTATTGCCCAAGATCTCCGTTGCACGTCCGAACCTCCTCACTCATCACACTTGATCGGTCACTACCCATCGAAGATCCAAAGCCTCAACCGCATAGTCAGAAGCTCTTCGAATGTAGCATAACACCTTATTACTCCCAGATTCTTGCCCACATCAATCTCACAATAACCCCTTGTTGAGCCACCAAGCTTGAACAGACATCGTCAGTTCATCAAAGCTCAGTGCCAAACCCCGCGTTTCAAAACCCACCTATTTTCATTTATACCCATCTATCAACTCAACACCACCAGCCGACAAGAAAGACCATCAAAAGCCTCATATACCAGTGGCTAACATTTTTGTATAAAAGACGACCCCGAACATAACACCAGACTTACACTGGAAACACCCTCGACGCAAACTGGCTACCACTTGATACCTTGGGGGTTTTTTCTCTCTCATCAAATTGTATAACACCGTAGCCACTTGAACTCGGGACGAAGTTGAACCGCCACACTGGCACCAATCAATCCAAAAGAACCGTTCGTCTTTGGAGGGAGGTTCCCCGGAACTTTCCAGCTGGGCTGTATGTCTCCCGACCTTGAGTCAATTTTTGCCGAGTTGGGATTGTCCCAGTATCTTGGTGCATTCGTTGAGCAAGGTTTCGATGAGTGGGATATCATTCTTGACATCCAGGAGTCAGATCTGTATGCTTCCTTTTCACTGGACTGATTGCAACACTTCCGCTAACAGCCTTTTTCAGAGATGCATTGGGTGTCAAACTTGGCCACCGGAGGGTATGATTCCTGTCACCGCCTACTCAGGCAGCCACTGACTCAATTTCCTTAGAAGCTCCAAAGAAGGATAGCTAATGCCCGAGGCATCTCCCCATCGGTGTCATTGGTGACTCCTGTCAGGCCAACCAGCGAAGATGCAAAATCGGATAGTGTGCAGCCTGAGCCCACTCGGATGGAACTACCACCCGAAGGACAAGGTGTTGCCAAACGAAAGTATCGGCGTCACCCTAAGGTGAGTTGAAACTTTTGCATTTCTCCAGTGGCGACTTGATGACTAACGAGGTACCAGCCTGACGAGAATGCCCCTGAGAGACCCCCGTCAGCATATGTATTGTTTTCCAACAGTGAGTTGTACCCTGACACGCGCTCGCTGTTCGTGAATATTTACTGACAAACGATGAAAAGAAATGAGGGAAGACTTAAAAAGCCAAAATCTCACGTTCACAGAAATTGCAAAACTCGTCGGAGAGAATTGGCAAAACCTGAATGCAAGTGAAAAGGAGGCATACGAAAGCCAAGCAAATGCCGATAAGGAGAAGTACCACCGTGACTTGATGGAATATAAGAAAACGGCCGATTATCGGAAGTATATGCAATACCTCCACGAGTTCAAAGAGAAGCAGGCCAAACGCACCCAAGGTTTGTAGCCAGATGGCATGAAATCCTCCACACGTTGACATGACAGTAAAACTGACATCCCGCCGTTGGCTAGCCGATGTCTCCAAGAGGACAAAATTGGATCCCGTTCGATTACGACACAGCAGCAGTAGCAGCAGCACCATGACACCGGGAGGCAATACTTCGAGCGGCAGTGGTAGTGAGAGGTTGCAGGGGAGCGAGCCACCACCTTGTCGGCGAGAAAGGTTGAATTCGATTGCATCGATAGCTGAATCGCAGCACTCGTCGACTACGCCAACTCTGTTATCCCAGGCAAACTCGAACGACGAGACCATGTCATCACCCCAGGCCGCCTATTTCGATACTGGAAGTCCACGGGAACTCCATTACCAAGCTCCTAAACGCCAGCAGTCCTGGCGAGAAGGAAGTCGAGGGGTAGAAGTTTCACATCAGCATCTACCCTCGTTGTCCAACATGCTCGAAGATGGAAGGCAAGGGATGCCAATTGCATCCGGGTCGGAAGGTAACCCCTATTCGAGTGGTTTTGTTGCCGCGAACCACCCTAGGTCGGTACCCGAAGTCCCCAACGTGCTTCCGTCCGCGCCGCCCAAGCCCCCCCTGCTCCGGCACGAACCGTCTTCCAGCAGCAGTATTGGTTCAGTGAGTCCAGCAGGGGCCTTTGCACGGACTCCCGGCGAAGGACCGCTCCCAATCCACGCTCTTCTTTCCCACCACCAGACGCTGCCGACACCAGTTGTTGCTGCCAATGCGGCCATGTTCGAACGGGGTTCTCCTGTTTCCGGGTTAGGTACTGGTACGACGACCCCGAGCCCAACAGACCCTGTGCCGCTCGCAAGGCCATATTTTGGCCACGGCGTTGTGCCCAGGGGATATGGTACTTGAATCTCTGGAGGCTTCGTTAAGAAGTCCAAGCTAACTCGGCTCTTAAGGCTCTCAACCATTGCCACCCACTGGCCCTTCAGCCAGGAACGACGAATACATGGTGGACAGCGATTTGCCAATGACGCCGGCACCTGATCTGATGGCCCCAATGGAGGATCGGTCCTTCAAGACTCGTCTCGATGGCATGAGCGTCTTGCTAAGAGCTGGTGAGCTTGTCGAAAAGCACGAACGACACGAACGACGATGAAGGGCGGTGACGATGAACTTAAGCTGGTAGCATACATACTGCTGCTGCATTCGACGCCAAAACGCTTGTGTCCAGATGTGTCAAGGCGCAACTTAGTCACCCCTGGGGACCCCTTTTGTTTCCTATCTTATCCGATACCCACGCATGATGATGACAAGTCTTTTCCATTTCATGATTCGGTCTTTAGGTGGATGGTGGTACCGTCTGAACGAGTACCTATAATGGCTGCTGTGGTAATATCGAGTCGCGGATTCTGGCGTTAGGTGCTTTGACTTTGGGTTGGAAAGAGTTTTGAGAGGATCCAAAAATAGCATTCGGAAGTCATGAGGAATTTGGCTGGTGTATAGTTGAAAGGTTTGTCCATGTCGGTAACTGGATTTCTCGAGGGCACATAGTCTATTAGTTTTTCAGTGTGCAATGAATTAGGTATTACAAGAAAATGACCAGGAAATGAGTTAGAATGGAAACGTACGGCAGAACCAATGCCAAGTCATGGAATTGGACGTTATGTTAATATACATGTGAGTGAGTAGTGCATATCCACATCGAGGAACCAGATTGGTGTTCTGATCAAGGGGGTTTACGGGTGTGAGACCACCACCAGATCATTGCGGCGAGAGAGGGGCAGTCCCGTCCCGCGATACTGGTACCAGTAATTCGGAAGACAAGGGAGGTTGTCGATTGATTGATTGATGGATGTGTATTGTATAAAGGTACCTATAGGAGATGCAGCTGCGCTATCTACAATAGATGTGTAGTAGTAAATCGAAGTAACAGATAAAGGTGGGTGACCGATTACATAGAAGGAGAGGCCAAGGTTGTGAGGAGAGAAAGATGAACGAAATGAAAAGAACGAGACGATCTCAAGGGTCCTTCCTTATTCAGACTTATCTACCTCAGCAAAAGTTGCTTTGTTCTTGTTCTCTCGTCTGGTTTGGCACCCCCACAATTTATCAACATCGTCATAAGGGTCCAGTTCGTAACCCGTTTCGACGTCATGGCGCAGCCACAAAAGCCAATGAGTGGGCCTGAGACTGGGATATTGAGGTACGTACTCCGTACTCGAGAGTTCCAGGTCCCTTAAGGTACCCTTACCTTGCCTAGAAGTTACTAGAAGTTAGTCCCTACCTTACCATAAAAATCATAGAGATCTTGAATATCTAGGTATCTTACCTGAATAAAACCAAGGTAAGGTAATTAGGACCCGACTTGAACACACGAGCTGGAAATCATTTGCTCTAGGTACTGGGGTCACTATATGAGTTGGTCAGTACCTAAACATCATCTCTCAGCAATCTCTAGTACTTACTTACCCAGGTCACATAGGTAGTTACAAGTTTACATAAGTAGCTATAGTAATTATTTCACTTTATCCATGGGAGCTGGAGAGTCAGCTATGAGATGAGTGTGGTGTTATGGGTATCATGGTGGCATTCGCGTATTCGACTAGGTGATAGAATGGCGATTCTTCTACCGCCGTTGATCTTTCCAGCACCTACGAGATTAGGATGTGAATGTCAAGTCAGGCTACCATTGACCAAGTATTTATTATCATTGGGAAAACTCGGATACGACCCAAGAGACCACAAAAGCTCACCCACCCGCTCAAGAATTTAAACTTGCTTTCTTCACATCTGTAAGAAAAGGAACCCCGCAAAAGGAGGCTGCAAATTCAAGAACCACCACCTCATCTTCGAGCTGGCATCCACATGGTATAAAGCAAAGATCGTGAATATGATCAATCAATCATTCCTTCGTGTCCTTCATTCAAAACAAGTACTCTAGATATTGTTACTGTTGACTTCTCCCCCCAACGCCAGGATATCACGTTATCTTCCATGCCATGCCATGCCATGCCATCCATACCATACCATGCATTGCTAGGTGTCCCTTGAACAATTCCGCAAGCATCTCATGCATGACTCGTCAAACAAACAAGTACATGGCCACCCCCAAATTTACTCAAGACAAGTGGTCACATAGCTCAAAATGGCTCCCGCTATTCACCCTCAACAATCTCCGCTGACCAATCCCTGCGGATCTCGAGTTCTGACAGACCAGGTGTGTTGTCAATCACAAGACCCTTCTCATTGGCCAAGTGCAAGAGACAGATAAAGCAGAATGAGGTCGAAATATCATCCATCACCGGCTTGGGATATACGGTCTGCAGATTGTTCATGATCTCTGTGAACTTGAGCGTCTCTTCTTGCTTAGGTTCGCTGACATCCACTGCTTGGGGCTCAGGTTGTTTCTGCAGTTAGATGTATTAGCATAATGCCACATCGTCGTTTTCGATTGTGCACAAAAACTTACTTGAAGAATGTCGACATCCATACCCTTCCACAACTCTTCCTTCAACCTTCGCACATCCACCTTCTTGGCTACCCTAGCATATTGCACATACTCGGGTCGTACACGCCTCGTTTGAGTGACCAGTGTCGTTCCGAACGCCCCAGTATTAGTTACTGTCTCTCCATTAAGTAGAGCTGTGAGCCCTCCGCCATCAGTGATTCCAGCCTGCCCTTCAAGCCCTGGTGAGAAGTGTTCCCTTGCGTCCGCAAATTCTAGATCGTCATCGTCGTCCAAGTCACCGCCGCCGGGGAATGGCATAACATCGTCCTGGAAGAAGTTGGCATCATAGTCGCCTTCAGGCAACGCTGTCTCGTCTGTATGTTGCGGGGCCTTTTGGTTGGCCCAGAATGCTTCGTCCATTTCCCCATCAGGTTGATTATCTGCACCGGTATTACCAAAACCACCCCCGCCGCGAGAGCTGAAGCCTGTGCGTCGTTTGCTCATCCGTGCCTTTGGCTTGAGGAACAGGCTTAGCAGAGACCTGGAGTTAAAGTGCTTGTCGTCAGGCAGAAGATTGCGTGACTTGGACTTCCAATCCTTCTTAGGCATGCTGATGGCCGAATTGTTGGTAGCCTGTGTATGGATGATATCCGAAGTGTGTGAATCCAGCGGTGCGGCAAAGTCGATTTCAAAAGGCTCTTTCTCCTTGCGCTTCTTTGTCTCTGTTGCCGGCTTATTCACATCCTTGATCTTCCTGATCCTCCAGTGCTCCGCGCTCGCCCAATTCTTCTGCAATGCCTGGTCGAAAAATCCAAGGATATCCTCGTGCATCTTGTCCGCCTTCTGCGCGCTCGTCATTGAAACAACGTATTCACCGTTGCCGTCCATCTCATCCCCCTCACCACCCTCTTCACCAAGGCCAGCGTCGTACACTCGCATCTGCGGCTCCAGTGCGGCCTCTCTAGCCCAAGCCTCGCCACCCTCGCCAAAAGCAACATTATCAGCAGCGTCGAAGGCTCCCAGGGCGAGATCATCATCGTCGAAGCCTGCTGCTTCGTCACCATCGATTACGAGACCGGAAAAGTCGCCAAGCGCGCCGGGGGTCTTTTCCTTGTCCTGGTCCTGTCTCCAATCCTCGGGTGCCTTGAGGAATGGAATATCCATGGATCCCGAAGGGTCGCCAAGATCAAACGTCTTTAGAGAAGGACAAACATCGAGCTCATCGAGTCGCTGTAAGTCCGGGATGAACTTGGCACCAAGGACTCCGACATCAATTTCGACGTCGTCGGCTTCTTCCTCATCTTCCAGCTCTTCTTCCTCTGGGTCGTTCTCGGCCTCCTCGTCTTCTCCGTCATCCTCTCCATCGTCGGACTTCGTCTTTCCAAGGGTGGTGGCATCACCAGTATCGTCGCTACTGTCAAAGACGATACGTCCTTGTGAATCGATCATCAGATGGTTTAGAAGAAGACCCTTGGCGCCACCTTCATCAAAATCGGCAGATGCTTTTTTGAACAAGGGATCGACGGCGAATTCCAGCTCAAACTTTTTGAGCTGCAGCGAATTGAACGAGGGGGCAAGGGTTGCTTCAGATGATCGTTGTGTCTAGTAGATGTTAGGTTGAACCTTTGGGGCGTGCCCGGATGTTTGCCATACCTTCTTCTTGGGCTTCTTTTTTACGTTGCCATCCTCATCGAGTTCTTCTTCGTCGCTCTCGTCGGCATCCTCGCCATCCTTGTCTTTCTTCTTGGCGTTGTTGCTATCGGCGAGGCCACTCAATAGCTTCCCTGTTTCCGTAGCGACGCTGTCAACACGATTGGTGTAGATCTTGACGCATCCGTCCAAGGTGCAACTGGCCTTTTGGAAGTTCACACCGTCGCCTTCCTTGAGGAGTGACATATCGTGAAAGTAGTCTATGAGAGCGAAGTTCCATGAATTTGTCGCATTAATTTTGTTGTCGGTGGCCATCTTCATCCATTCTTCGAAATTGGCGAGAAGCGGCACACGCTTCATAGGCGTGACCGCAGAGCCTCCGACCACAAAGCCCTCGTCATCTTCGATATTGCTGGCGCGGCCGCCGCGGGGAGTTTGGGGATCACCGTTCTCCATGTCGTCAAGGCGAAGGCCAACCTTGCGAGGAGTTGCGGCCTTCTTGATCTCGTTGAATTGTCTTTCGTGGAGAGCTCTCCTGGAGCTCATGCGCTGCCCCTTTTCAGACACATCATCGTTGAGGGGGATTCTGGATAGTTGCATTAGCACACCGCAGTTGTTGCTGGGGAGTCGATGACTGACTTGACGGGTGACTGCGTTATGAATGGTGAGGCCGTACTAGAGCCTGTGTTGTTCCTAGCATTCCCCGTCCGGGGGACTTGAGCAACTCGAGGCATTTTCAAGTTATTTGTGTGGGTTTTGGGGGAAATAAAAAGGGCGTGTTTGGACGAGGCCTATCGCGTTGTCGTCCCCCTGGCCTAAGTAAACAAAATAAATGCCAACTGCTAGCACGAGGGGCGGGCGGTGTGTGGGGTGACCTCAACCTACCTACCGTAAACACTCAGTAAAATGGAATGGGGCTATGGGGCCGATTTCATCCACCTTAGCCAATCAATCTTAAGATTGATCAGATCTGTCACTATGTTTAGTAAGAAAGGTATCCACAGCCCCGTTCCATTTTACTGAGTCTTTACGGTAGGTATGCCCGGGCTGTTATTGTT